CGCTCCCGACGACCGTGATCTACTTCAGCAACACCTCAACCGCCTATCCACATATGCTGCAGCAATGCATCTCCCGGTCATCCCAGGCAAGTCTGTATTTGTGAGCCTGGGGAAGGATGCTGACGACCGAACCTACACCCTTGACGGGCCAAACGCTATATCTTACACCCTTCTTGAAAGCCCTAGGTGTACTGTCGTGCTACGATTTAAACTTTGTGGATAACACGAACAGGCTATATCGTATTGGACTGAGCATGCTTTGGGCGCTTAAACATAGCTTCGGTACATGTCCTGAGCATATTGCCAGTCGCCCCTTTTCTTCTATCATTACAGGGATGCGAGATTACGGTTCACCCGCCTAGTTTCTGATTACCCGAGACGATGCACAAAAGATCGCAGCGTCCAAAACGTTGCTACAAGGCTCATCGCGAGTTTACTTGGCTTGGGTTATAGTGACCGGCGCGAGAAACTAGGATTCTACACCTTGTCCTACGGTCGGGTTCGTATTGGTCTCATTATGACCTACCGTATTCTACCTCACGGTGCCTTCCCCATGCTGAGGCCAATTCAACACTTACGAGGGACATACAGCACACGCGAACACAGATACAAACTTGTCGTACCGGATGTGAAACGTTTCCCCACCCAGTATGCTTCGAACGGATAGTGGTAAATATTCGGAACAGTTTGCCTGAACATGTGATGGAGGCAATATCTGTGCACCAGTTCAAAACGTTGTTAGATTTATATTTTCGCACTATTAGATTCAGAGGACGATTGCATACGATGACTTGTCAAATTTGTGGGTCCTGCAACAGCGTTTGTCAGATATTATAAAGGTTAAATGAGAACGATAACGATATTCAAGGCTGACAATTTTTATAATGTTTTTCACCATATTTCGGAAGATTTGTACATAGTTCATTTATACTTATTCTTTAAGGCGGTATTTAGTACTCTGCATGGCATAAGATTGCTGTTAAGATGCATGGAACTCGCTCACATTGATCAGATTAAGCCTACAATAAGCAGGAAAATGACGAATATGTTATTGCTTAACCAAGATTATGTTAAACTTAGAGACACTGAATCCTCATGGTTAGAGGTTGTTAGATAACTTAGTGGCTGACATATACGGACTTTTGTAACCTGTGATGTGATTGTGTAGGTAATTAGTATTAGCAAATCGCTGCAAAGCAAACTCGAAGTACCTTATTTCGGTGCATGTACTGAGCTATTAGTCTCATAATTAACCACGCTATGGTTGTGATTAGATCATGTGTGCTTTAAGAAAATAAGTGTTAAGTCTTCTAGAATCGAAAGATAAAAGAACCACTCGGAATGCTTCACTGTGCAATAGGTATGCTTTTGCGATGTTGTTTGTAGACACTTGGAGTTATGGAACTTGGCGTTTGCTTGGAAAATAAATATGTTAAATTTCGGGACAATGCTGCAAAAACCATGTACATTTTCAAACATTTTATTGTAGAAACTGTATTGCTAAAACTGATCGATTTTGGACTGTGTTATGTCTAGTCAACAGTGTGGATGTTTTGAGAATCTTTCTGCAACGTGTTTGATGAGTACGACTGTTTTGATGAACCACGCTTAATTTATGACTTCTCGGCGCAAACCTATGCGCACTTGGATCCACTTCAATGCACGCTTGTCCAGTATATTTGTACTAGAGCGCCTGCCAAATTAGAGCAAACCCTCAATAAAGGTTGATGGCGACTTTGCTTGCAAAGAAAGACTGCACAATAATAGCTCAACGATATAAGAAAGCATTTGTCCTGATCTTCCTTAATTCTAAGCCCTCGAAATGCCCTTACCTGGATTTATTATTGCAATTGAGGGGCAGTTCGAATGTAGCAACCTTTTCGCTCGCCAGATAACATGCAACAGCGAAGAGCAATCATTAATAAAGCACCCGCGGCGAACCGAAGCAAGAATGAGTGACGAACTTTGGATAATAGATTATATATTCAGAGCGTTGAAAAAAGTGTACAATAAATATTGGAAACTTATTTCAGAAATTACCGTTGGTTATGTAAGTTTACAAATAAATCATAATTACAACTAATAGTCTGAGGTGGAATAGAGACAGAGAAGATATTTCGAAAGAGCGAGTAACTTAAAAGAACAGTACAAAATATGTCACCATTATTAAAAAGCTTACAAAAATAAGCAAAAGCCTATGAACATTTAACAGTTAGGTATTCAAAATCGTGCATATGGGACAGGATTATTTATGGTCGCAAAGGGAGGAGAGAGTTCCAAATTATAACATAGCAAAGAAATTAGCTCGATCTTTGCAATCATTGTTTGCAACCTTTTTACACACAAATAATTTGGCCACACTCTAAAATTTCAAATGCCAAGTCATCTGGATTGCCCAAGACACATCTTATTTGAGGAATTATTTTACTACGGTTACTGTGTATTGGAAATTTACATTCATTTTGTAATTTAGTTTACCTTAATTATTTCTGAAGTTCTAAAAGCTGACCCATCCGTTTGACGTTTAGAAAGCACTTTAGGATCATTCACGAAAGTTGCACGTAAATAAGCATTTTCACGGATTCAAAAAATACCTGTAAAAGAAGCAGCAACTAGCGGTTTAAATGTGCAAAAGACTGTGCTGGGTGGCAAGTAACTCTTAGACGTCGGACAGTTTTCAAGACACATTTACTACTGATCCATTTCAGTAATATGTAGTCCTTTCTTAGTAAATCCATGGATCTTACGGGATACAGAAATACTTTTATCTTGTAGCCACAAGGAGGCTGATTACATTCCGTTGTGCATTACAAAGTACTTTGATATGTTTTAGAGTGTTAACCTGTTCCATCCGAATTTGCTTGCCTCACTGTCGTAAGGGCAGTGTAATTACTTCCAACAATAAATTTGGCTATAACGTCGAAATCTGCTGTTCACTCTTCCGATAATCATCAACAGTTACCATACAGAAAGTTAAATTCATGTAATAGTTTAACTAACACAGTTGAGGGATAAAACTGGCTGATGCAGGATTTCCAATTGATTCGTCAGCCTCAATTAGTTACAGGTGAACGTGCATTACTAGAGAGATAGGGTGGAGAACAAATTTGACCCCCCGTTTCCATAACAGTTCAGAAGTTACAGACAGGCAAAATTTACACAGGGTATGAGCTTTACGTAAATGATCGCCATTAAGGATGGAACAAACGGGTAATGGCTGGTCGGTAAGTTGTTATCTTGCAATGAGTAAAGTTCGTGTAGAATTTATGTAAGAAGGATTAAGTGTTTACGCCCACGAATATATTCCGCCTGTGCCGCATTATCATCGAGTTCAGTGCCATATAAAATCGGCCGATGGTACCAACAAGTAAATTAGCAAATAGCTAATGAACTGAAGAAGATAAGTTTTCCTTCAGCCGTCCGGGAAAGAACCAACTGTTGGTTCATCTAATTTCTTTGATTCTGCGATCTGGAGCTCTCATGAGATGTGAGCTACACACTTAAGAAACGATGTCAGACTGCACGAATACCATGCAGTAGAATAAACAGCGAGCCATTTTATTGTTGCTTCTTTCACATTTGCTCGAAGAAACGATGAATTAGATCATAAACATATAATTCCAGACCTGCTAGATGAGAAAAGCCCAGTGTGTAATCTGCAGTATTGATGACAAAAGGAGCGTTTCTTTAGTTTACTGTTTTCATTAGAATTTTTCATCGTTGGAAAAATTGACATTTGAACGTATAAGTTGCTAATGCCTTGTACTCATCTAAGGTAATTCAATTTTTCATAACAGAGCAGCGGTTGTAGCATTAATATCTACCATTTAATAGTTACAATTAACAACATCTAATCTACATTGATCTACATAATACGTACTTTCTCATACCTATGAGTGAAATAGACTTATAACTTGTGAAAGCATTGGCCGAAGTAAAGGTCCGACTATGAGTATTTCGTTCATTAAGATGACAAGTAACAAACATTTCACGGAGTTTGATGCGAATTAAAGCAGTGCATTACAAAAATGATTACAGTAAATTCCATAAATGCAATGCGACAGATAAATGACCACTGCTAATTAAGTTAGCACAATTTATAAATAAAAGAGCAATTAACCCCATCGCTTATGTGTCTATCATGGTATGTCAAGTTGCTTCGTATGAAACAACTAATCGTTTACAGAAATACTTCATTTTAGTTCTGGTTGGTGTCTACATATTTTGGAAATACTTGACTTTTATTGAAAAGCAGGTTTGGCAATGTTACATATATGACAATAATCAAAATCTTTCGTCAATGCACGTTATTACTTACTTAGTTGTCAATTGCACAACATCAACATATATTACATTTGAGCATCCTGCAGTGCTATTTACAACCTAAAATACTAGAGATCCTTTGTAGAGAAAACAACTTGTGGTCGATAGCGATTTCGGGCAGAATACCACTCGCCAGAACGTCCATAATATTTTGTGTATGTCAGAATACAATTTATTTAACCGGGTTAATAACCTACGGTTATCAGAATCACAGCGGGTTTTTTACAGCTTGCAGCCCTATTTTGCTGAATACAAGAAGCGAAATTGACAGCATCTACGCATTTCAGTGTTAACTTTCGTTGCATTTTATTGATTTTGAACAAACACCTTTGCGAAGTAACAATGTTCTCATAATCTCAAATCACATGTGTTTAAATAGGAATGCTTATAAGATTAATTGAATTCCGTCAATGTTCACTCTTCCTAGTCAGTCATCTTGAGTAAAACATTTGCTATTCCGTTGAGTTTACTGCGTTTGTAATCGGACCTTGAATGTTAACACCAGTCAGTTAACCGCTTTAACGAGGCGTTGCTTTTGTTTCACAGATGTTAAGTACAACTATACATCTGTACGAATAAAACTCTGCTTCAACCAAAGAGTTGTCATATGTCTAAACAAGAATGGCTTGAAATTTCCGTGTGATGACTAAGGGAAGCTGTTTGAGTCAGAGGGTATTTTAAAAATGCTTACTCTGAAAATAGACTGCCGACAATGCCGCTTCTTTTAAACCCAGCAAAGAAGCAAACACGACCGTCATAACGGCAGTGGTAGAAGTGCAGTTGAATGGAGTAAACACATCCGTGTTGTTTACCAGTTGCAGCTCGGGGGCCGCACAGTTATCGCCATCCAAAACACGTAGCCAGGCAAATGGAGAATCCAGCTAAGGAAGACAAGTTAAAAACATTGCAGTGGATTGCAACTATTAACGTCCTTCATGTTAGGAATGTGCTACATCTAATGTCTCAAGGTATCTAAGTTATAGGTAAAAGAAACAAAGTATTCAATTTGGTGAAACGCACCATGCAAACTAGGGCATGTGCTTTTCTCAGAAACTCGGCTTGGTGAATGAGAATTAATTATATTCATCGGTACTAAAATATGACTTACTTTAAGCTTGGTGAATCGAGCATGCACTCTGTTTCCCACATCGACTTTTATTGACCAAATGCACAAAGCATTCATTCTTCCGTCTCCATTAAAATAAAAGCTTCCGATAGGTCCATGTAATTTCCCTCCACAGTTATCTAAATACGAAGTACAACAAATGTCTCTGCTTAATGGACGTCAGCACCAATATCAAGATACCACTATGCAGTAACGAATAAACGGTTAGGCAATTTGCTCCCTGTGAACTTCTCGATATTTAGACTCTAAAATAGATGCATATGCTTAGCTTTCCATTAACTTTGAGTCGACTTTCAGGAAAAAGGATGACGGAGCGCAGCAGGCAATTTGCAAGAATTTCAGTTATTAGCTTTGTCAGTTTGGCCCTTTGGGTTTGTTGGTTGTGCTATTATTCTGCTGTCTACAATGCAATCAAAGCAAATGGGGAAGATAGGTCGTTTAGAGAGCAAGGGATATATGTCATTGAATATGGATGCCTCAGTTAATGCATGTTACTGTGATGAGACTTACCCAACAGCCGATTATTTGCTGGAGGAAAATTATAGATGCAGTTATGTTTTACAAAGAATCTAATTAGAAACCGTGGCCAAAAGTTGGGTGTTGCAAACAAATTCATTTTACCAATTACTAGGGTATTTTCGCAGAAGCTAAATAAGTCGAACGATGATATCTATGGACTGCTACAACTTACCATTTTTCGGTTCCGTTGGACCTATAATTAAGGAAACAGCAAATAGTTAAGAAATAAGTATGCACTTAATCTGTAGTAAGAAGACGCATGTACTGTAGCGTAAAGATGTATCGGTTTATATGCAACCTTCCTTTTGTCACTGTGTGATATGCAGGCAGTTATACTACGATTTCTAGTAGAAATGACCAGTTTCTACCTGCTGAGCCAATTGCACTAGTACGTACATCTTTCTCACGTGCTTTATTTGAAGATAACAAGGAGAAATGACTTACTGCGCGGATAACCAGCAACTGAAGAATGGATAAAATGTACTTCATGAATTACCATGCAAACACATCGGTAGTTGATGCACGCATTCAGGATATTCGGATTACAACATGGTTACCTATGTAAATAATTAATATCTATATATATATTTGTGAATAAACACATCTGGTTGTAACTATTGCCGGAGTTTAGAATAACATAATACTTGATAATTAAGTATACTAATTATTGCACCTAACACTCTCTATGAAGCTTCCACTCAAATTAATTTTTAAAAAAGAAATAATTTTTAAAGGGTCATATCTACTTTTAACGTATGAACAAAAAAGTGACAAAGATTTTTAAAGGTGTATTAAATTCCAGAGTCGTTTCAAGTGATAATTTGTAGCAATACGCAAACCTTATTATATTTAGTGTAAAATAAATGGTTCACATGATGCAAGAATTTATAGGCCGCTCTATTTAATGACTCATGTTTTTTGTATTCTGAGAAATCCACAAGTGTAATGCACCGCGATAAAAATAAGCTCTTTCTTAATAAAAAAGTAAGATGTCAATGGAGTATAGTCATGCGTGACTAGGGAGTGAGGCACTGTAGCTGGTGTTTCTTTGAACTAAGACGTTTGTTTGGAGTTTTATTGGCAAATGGCGCCCGTATGATTAACATAAACGAATCAACCCAAATATATTCGAGAGCATATATGTCTTCGCGTCCACTGCGTTTTATTTGTGACTGTGAGAAATAGCTTACCGTTACATCTAGTATGCAAGTAATTAATCAGTGAATTAATAAGAGAATCATTTCAAAACTCTGTGCTTTACATAGCACCGATTGCATGGTAACGAAAAGTGAAATAATTCATAGAGAGAGGGAGAATGGAGTACAAATAGCCTCCATGCCTCGGATCCTTAAGACCAATGATATTTTAACGAGTCTGATTTTATTACAATTAGTTTCGCCACTATCTATCAGGTGTTTTCTTGAGTTTTGTGTCGAATCCCAGTGTTGCATTGAGGCGTTATCCGTTCATAATGTGTGCAATGATCAGATGCTTCCTTAAACATTGTGTGCACGTAAGCGAAAATAGTATGCACTACTTACTTAATGTTACCCTGCGATTTTTGTTTATTTCAAAACGAATGTACTTACATTTTCCACCTAAAATACCCCTTGTTAATAACCGCCCATATTTTCAACCACGTTTATGTCGTTGCGTTTGTATTTTCCATTTAATGCACTTTGCTTGCAAACTTTATTCCCTGTTACATAATTTAGAGAAATTGACGCATGAAAGATGAAATTGTTCGTTGTTGAAGCAGCTTCGAATATCGCAATTGCAGACTTCGTTAAGCCAAACAATACCATTAGATATTACAGTAATGTCGACAATAAGCGTTTCAAAAATGCAGAATTACATCTTGTTATTGAACGCAATCCTCACCCAATTTATAATCTGCTTTGAATCTTCGTTTTCCATCTGTGTGATCTGAGATGAAAAGAGCTGCCATTTCGTTACTGCTTGAAACAACTGCCGGAGTATGTCCCTCAAAAATCATGCCAATTCTTTTTGATGTGCAGTCAGGGCCATCGAATATGACAACGTATTCGAGAATCAGATTTGCGCTTATCATCTGTACAGGGTCAAATCAGGAATCGGATGAACACCAAATTTCTAAGTTGATAAGCATGATATCAGATAGGCAACACAATTAATATAATGCAGTTACTTTTAAAAGTGAATAGACTTAAAGTTGGAAATTAGGCATGATAATAAGTTGCTTTTATGTAACGTCACATCAACATGATAAGAGAGCATATTAACAGGCAATCGCTGCGGGAACGTACATGCACTTCTTGAAATGTTATTTTGATTTTGCCTCTGTGCGACACCCTGATAGCAAAGTTACAAAATCTGTATGCTCCATAACTCTCCAAATTTTCCGGACTCTCAAAGCTGCCGGAGTCCTGTGACGTGAAATTCCTGCTACATGTCGCATTGCGAACAACATCTGAAAAATCAGGGGAAAATGCGCTTATACAGTATTTACAACTGATACTGAGCAAATTCACCGCTACCTCACTAATCACTGAGACAGTAGACAAGTAGTGAACAACCTGTACGTTGGCATGTGCGAACACTATGTATATCCATCACTGTGAATATTAGACACCACTATTTGATTTACTAAGAGCCACTAAGCTGATTTATGTACCTTTCACGACACGTAATACGGAGGCAAGAGATAAGTCAAATAGTGATCATCCGTCAAATTGCGCCATGATATGCTGTCCTAATCAAATGCGACGGCTTATATATTGAAACATTCAGCGGCGCAGTCAAGTCTAATATTTTCGCAGAGAACGCGATACAGCGGTATGTGTGTGAACACTAACTTACAACAGCCGTACCATTTCACCTCCAAATAATAAACGTCAGGAGCACTGGCCGGACAGCTGCAATTCCAAACATCCCCTGACAATTCGCAAATTCAAAACACTCAAATATTTCTCTATGGGATCCGAAATAATTCATCTACGTTGTGCATACGTGCGTCTCTGATTTGCGTTTCCTTAACCTGCCAAACGTATGGAATCCTAGGGCTAAACACAAATTTGCTTGAGTTCACGGGCTAAACATTTTATTGTATTTTGAGTGGCGTTAAAATACATAAAAGCCTCTATTAGCCTTTTTCCTCGCATTTAGCTGTTAAAGAAAAAGTAGGTGGCCAGGCAGAGTTCGTCCACTTGTTCTAATCCCACACACCTTAATAAACTAATGAGCTGGATGTGATCGTTTTATTTCCACGTCTAGTTTAATATCGTTGGTATGTGTAACCGAAATGAACGCTAACTGAATGTTTCTGTAGTAATTTTGACCATATGTACTCTATGTTTGGTCACATTTATTTTAACCTTCATAAAAGTATGGGCATACTGGATCCGCAATACTTCGACCATGCGCAATGACCCGTTTATAAGAGTAAGCTGTTTGCGGTAGAGAAAAGAGGATAGCGCCCTCCTGGTTGTATTTCGCGTACTCACAGTCTGTGTGT